TGTGTGTGTGTGTGTGTGTGTGTGTGTGTGTGTGTGTGTGAGACCATTCACCAGAGACAGAGTAGGGAACAGAACAGGCACGTTTACCAAAATACACTGCTGAGGGGAGTAACAGGAGAGACAGGAGAGGTCTGCCATGCCATGTGGGTCACTCCCTGCTGGGATTGAACTCCTGGTGCTGCAGTGGCTGAGGGTAGTTTCATAGTGCTGTGCTTTGCCCCTGGGTTCATTCTTTTAGTTTGGAGTAGAAGCAGCATAGGCTTAATTCTTTGTACAAGTTGAAAGGATCAGTAGGCTCCTGCAGTTAAAGGATGGATGTGGGGCCAAGTGTCTAGCAAGTAGGAACTTTATTATGCTCCTGGGTGAGGTTCACAGACCCCAAAGACAGGGTAGAGGTCACCAAAATGCCAAACCCAAGTAGGTCCAAATACTACAAACTGCTCTGTCCTCAGTTTCCTCATCTGTAAAATGGAAAGTTAAAGCCTACCTCACAGAGTTGTCATGAGAATTGAAATGACCTTTAAAAGGTGCTGAATTAAGTGACAATCTGTAGCATCCCATTTTGACCTAAACCCAGGACAGAAAATTAAGACACAGAGAAATGTGAAAACACACACACACAAGAACAAACTTACAGTGACCCAGATAAAAAAAACCAAGACCCAACTCAAGTGTCCAATTCAAAGTTCACAAGTCTACCAACCACGTCAGGCTGCTTTGCCCTTCCAGCATCCATGGTTGAGCTTCTTCTGGAGCCTGGGAACTAGGAGAAAGCCCTTGTATGGGCACTGACTAAGTCCTGGTCAAGGCTGAGCCTGGTGTGTGGCCTGGTCTGACTGATACTGGCCAGTCCATCATCAGGGTGGCTCTGAGACAGTAATGCCACCCTGAGCTTGAGATCTGGATGGGCAGGATTAGAATAGTTAGCACCAGGGTCTTCTAGGGGGAAGAGCTGGAGCAGAAGGACTTATGGTTCATGAAAGGAACCTGAGTCTAGGAGGATTGGAGCAAGCCTCTGCATCATTACAAGAATTGGGGGAGAGAGACATTTTGTTTATTTGGTTTTGGGGAGGAGTGAAGTTTTAAACAGAATCAAATTTGCATTTTTCATAAGCCCTTTGGCTGCAAGCCTGAAGGGGCTGTGAGAAAAATGTTCCCAGGCCAATGCAATGGTTCAGGGCTCGCAACTGGGCAGGGGACTAGGGAGTTGGCAGAAGAGATGGAAAAAGGGGTATGAAGAAGACATGTATTTAGAATACAAAGCTGAATTTGTAAGAATCGGGTTTGGGGGGTGAAGGAGAAAATCCATGAATCCCCTGGTGTTCTGGTTTTGCTTGCTTAAATAGTGGTGTTATTCTTGGGGACTAGTGGGGAGGGATTCTACATTTGGTTTTGATATCCCTGAGGGGTCATTTACAGGGCTTTAAAGTGACCTGTGTAACACCCAAGGGCTGTGGGGTAAGAATATGGACAGACTGAAAGGATTTTGTCAGCCTTCAGCAGAGTGCTGGCCAGCCGAGGGAAGGTAGTGGTCACCATCCTCAGGTGCACCAGGCTTCGGATTCTGACAGTCTGGCAGCCATCCCTGACCTAGTCCCCCACCCCACCCCCACACCCTAACCCGTCTGGGGCTGGGGGCTCATGATGTCAACAACCTCCTCCTCTCTGGTTTCCGACTGTCGGTGGAAAAACGGAAACTGCACTGAGCGGTGCGCTGCCCGAAATAGCATCTGGTGCCTGTTGGTCAGTGCTCTGTCCAAGAGTCCAGGAGTTAGTGAGGCGGCTGGCGGCCTCGCCAGGAAATGCCACCCCTTCTCTGCCCGCCCCAAGCAGGACAGGGGGGCAGGAAACTCGGAGTGCCGGAGGCGGGTGGGGGAGTCGTGGGGGGAGGGGCAGCCTGGTCCCACACTGTGGTCAGTGCAGAGTCCAGTCCTGAAGCTGAGCAGGGTGCAAAGAGCAGCCTGGGCTGCTAACAGACCTGTCTTCCCTGCTTAACATTCCACCCCCAACTCCTGAGTTCTTCCAACACCCTAAATCCCAGACTTTATACATTTTCCCCCGTGTTGCATTTCTTCCTGTCCTCACTGTCCTAGCTGATCTTTAGGCTTTCCCCCACCCCAAACTTCCTGGGGTGATGCGATGTGTGTGCAGTCCAGGGCCAGCCATATTTATTTTCAGTGCGTTTATATGGTGCTCCTATGTGCCAGGTACACATTATCCTTACACATCACACATGTTAATTCAAGTCAATTAGCCATCACACACCTCTGAGTTAACCCTAACAGGACCCAGTAAGTAGGAACTGCGGTTGCCTCCAGTTTGTAGGTACCTACAGGAGGCACAGAGAGGTTGAGCAAGTGGCTGAGAACTCCTAGCTGGTGAGTGGAGCATTTCCCTCCTGGGGCATTCTGGCTCCCTGTGGTGCTTCCAAAGGCAACAGGACAAGTGCAAGGACCCTCAGGGGTCCTCAGCTCCTGGCTCGGCTCCTCTACTTGCCAGCTGTGTGCTTATAGGAAAGTTACTTAATGTTGAGGTTTTATTTTCCTCCTCTAAAGAAGGGAGATAGTTGGCCAAGCATCATTGTGTTCTTAGGATTATTTTTAATGGTAAAAACTGATTTGAAGTGATGTCATTGTTCCTCCTTTTCACCTTCATATCACCAAGGTCACTTTATTTATTTTTAAAAATTTAAAATTAAAAAAAAATTTACTTAGGCATATAGAAC